ATGCTGGAGAGAGAAAGGGGAAACAGGCCTGTGAGGGGCTATTAGAGCACCCAGTGAGGTTTAGATAAACACATACACATTACACACACACACACGCCACAAACCACCAGCACTTTTCCTCCCTGTCCCTCTGTTCACAGACAGACTGCCAAGGTGAAGGAACATGAATAGAGTTGTCCTACACCAATAGACACTTGGCAATGACACACTTCCTCTCTGGCTGAGAAGCTCGTTGCAAATGCTGCTTATTGTGCCAGCCGGTCTTTCCTGGCATGGACCTGGCAAGAAGGGAGTGACATTCAGAGGGAGACAGGACATAAGGACAGGGGAAAAGTTTTTTGAGTGTGCCAACTTCCTTAAATCTATCAGTTATTAGAGACATGTATTGGTGATCTGCAACCTTTCCTAACTACAAGCCATTTCCAGAACTGTACAATTTTGCTGTATCATCATACCGACCTTTCTTTCATGTTATGTGCATTAATGGACACTGGCCTGTGGATATGCCACCAAAATTTACATTGTACTGAACTTGGCCATCTCCTGCATGTCACCAGTGATTTAATTGCATTGTTGCACGTGTCTTTAGCAAGCAGCACTGTGACAAGACCAACATTACTGCATTAAAAAACATTTATGTTTTTTGCTGGTAGAAAAAAAAAACTGAACCTTTGTAATTTAGTGCCTGTAGCAATACGCCCACACCAACACAGGCTCTTGCGGTTTTCATCACAGTGCTATTTATGGTCTGGATACCCACTTTGTTCAATGAAAAGTAACTCAGAGTTGGATTCACACAGGTCCATTCATTTGTATATTTGCACTGAATACCAACCGCATTGTTGTTTGGTCTTTTCTGTGGAAATGAGATCTGAGTTACACTGTGTCCAAATTATACACAGTCTAGAGTTGGGTAAGGTCTCAGGCCTGTGTGAGTGGGTCAGAAAGGACGTTAGAGCACTCATCAGCTCTGATGACATCATTATAACAACAGGAGAAAATATTAGGAAACATAATAATATGTTATATTATATTAATTATTAGGTTAGACTATGTAAAAGATTTCTGCTATTAAATTTGTTTGATTAACAGATATCAAATTGGTTACAAAAGTATTATATTCTATAGCCCAGCTGGCCACAGAATAATCTGTTCATGGTGAAGAAGGTGAAAATAGACACCGTATTGCAACAAATAGTTAGTTTGTAATTACTTAACATTCATTCTTTGGACATTATTATTATACTGTATTTTAGCTCTTTTGACCATGGCTGCTTGTTAATTGATGACAC